CTTACAACTGCCCAACTGCTCTTGCAAAATGCATGGCGACACTGCTGGCAGCTTGTGGAAGCGGGTGGAACAGTGTTGGAGAATGGATGCATAATAATGTATGGAAGGGATGGAACTGGTGGAAAGTGGATGGAAGATGAATGGGCAATTGTGGATGATTGATGGCAACTAAAAAAACAAAGTACACTACAGGAGAAAGCAGATGGGATGGCTCGGACATGGATGGGAACCTGGACGGGGCTCAAGTAACAGGAAAGGCAAGGACGTGCAGGGACTGGAAGTGCAGGCTGGCCCCCGCCCTCCTTCCACTTCTTTTTCGACTTGGAAGCACCCTGCGGGCAACTTTCCGGTAGATGACGAGTAGCGACTGAAGGGAAGTGAAACAGATGACAGACTTCACATGCAGGAAAATGGCTGGCGCGACCATCGCTTTTTCTCCACGGCTGAAGCGGTATATGACTGAGAAGCGCCCTGTGGGCAACTTGCCGCCTCCTCCCGTTCGAGCGCGTTTGCAATCGCGACTCCTGCTTCTTCTCCATGGCTGCAGAGGCACATGACTGAGAAGCGCCCTGGGGGCAACTTCCGCCCTGTTTCCGTTCTAGCGCGTGCATGCTGCTTCAACCTGCGCATGTGGGTTTAGCGTGTTGGCGCGCTTCTGTGGTTTTAGCTGTCGAGCAGTTTGCACAAGGCTTCGCGCTGGGGTGCTTACAGGGGGGAGATCCCCGGCATTATCTGGGGTTAAGGTGGGCAACATGCATAAGCTAACCAGCCATATCATAGCACACGCTACGTTTCTCATGCATCAAACATGACATGACATGGTATAACTTCAAAGAGGCGTAGCCGGCTAGAGGGCGCAGGCCCAGAAATTTGTGGAAAGGTAAGACCATCTTCACCTTTTCGGACAACTCGCTCAAGGATGAGGAGGCAGGTTCAGGATCGGCAGCAGATAGGATCATTGACAAGAAGAGCTGAGCCAGATCGTACAGCACCATCAATAGAAAAGAACCCACATCACTTCCTCTCGCCCTAGGCAGAATCCACCAGCGATTGTCCAAGCCGGAAGAGTAGAAGAAACTCCACCTTCAGCATCATCACATGACAACCGACCAATTTCGATTCAGAACTCGCGCGCTTCATCTGCCAAAGCCAACGTACGACCTATTTGACAAAATGCGAAGTGAATGTGAAGTGCGCCAAGCGGCAAAACAAGCACCGACACGAAGCAAGGCGAGTGGACTTCGAGCGGACACATTCGGTGATATGCCATTCATGGATCACTGCGCTCCATGAACTTGTCGATTTTTGGCGTTGTTGAAACTGGATCCATGAGGTAATCAACTGCTCCTTCTAGATCGAATGTGTTGGATGATTTCTTCTCAATGATCGACGTGGGTTTTGGAAGCTGCTTACCGTAGTCAACATATGTACAACGATCTGCCCTGGTCGGCACCAATCCGTAAGAACGGAGTGCCGAGTCTAGGATGCTCCACCATCTGCGCGGTGCGTGCGGCTGCTTGGATTACAAGGCGAAACCACTCCTTGATGCAGCAGGACTGTCGGTCTGCTGCTCGTTCTTCTGCCTGTCTTGGAATCCTCTAAGGATTCAACGAGCCTTGGTCTTCAGGAAATTACCGTCTTTGTCTCGCTTTAGGGTAAGGACCCAGCGACCGGTGACCCAATTCCTGACAGTGTCGAACACTTCAGTAGCAAGCCAAGATTTGCAATCGAGAAGCTTTGCTTCAAGGAGTTGCTTCTGATAAGCTCTTGTCTCAGTGGCTGTCGCTTCCTTCCGCTTCTTACCAATGAGTGCGGATGTGGATGAAGCCTTCAAGGATTCTTGCTTGGATGAGTACAAGACTAGGAGGTCAACATCATTCTTGTCTGTGTGTTTCTGGTGAGAGAATCCGCATTGGGCGAATGGCTTGAAGGCCAGGAAGGACAGGGTTGCCTTCAATGTCTCTCGGAACTCTAAAGATCCAAAATTAGCACAGATCTTCGGTTCGGCTGTCATGGTCGGCTTCCAGATCATCATATGCTCTTGTCCTCTGAGAGTCTTCAGATTCTCTGTCTTCTTGGTCAGTGTACTGCATGGTTCTCTGTGAACGCCCAGTGCCGGATGAAGTTGGATCGTGAGGAGTGAGTTCTTCCTCATTATTGGATTGCATCGGCAAATTGACTTGATTGTTCGGATTGAAATTGGATGAAGCTGCAGGTTCACCTTGAGGATCAGGTTCAGGTGAATCATCATCTTTTTCGTCTGGCTTCTTCTTCTTCTTCTCAGCCTTGTGCTTGAAGGCTCAGGTGACTTCTTCTTCCCAGTCTTCTGCTTCTTCGGCGAACTGCCTTGCAAACGCGCAGTTGTTTCTTCGTCTTGCTCAAGATGGAGCAGTTCAAGCTCTTCATGATTGTCTTCTGCTCCGGAATTCGTCAGAGTTGCAGGCGGCGAAGGTACCACGACAGTCGGAAGAATCCGAGTGAGACGGCAAAAGAGACAGTCGATTGAGCCACTTGAGGACGAAATTGCCGTCTCAGCGAGTTCCCCCCGCTCGGCTTATCGTCTGGCAGCAGTGGTGGATCTACTGGACTGTCTGGTGATACACCTGGCGCTGGCGGCATGGGATGATTGGGTCGATCATTCTGATCAGGCTGATGTGGAGGATCTGGAGGAGGATCTGACATGCGCTCGTTCGGTGGAGTTGGAGGTCTTTGATCGGGCATGGGTTGGTCCGGTTGGCTGCTGTTGTTACGTGGGATGGATTGGATCCACATCGATGGGCAATGGCCGGATGGCTGGCGCATCGGAAAATGAGTGATGGACTGATGAAAACATCACTGCACGCCCGTCCTTGCGTCATAGTTTTCCTCCATTTGTTTGCCATTTCTGGTTGTGAACTTGATGGCGTTTATCATCATTTTGCCTTTTGGTTGTCCTGTTGTTGTAGGCCGCTCCAGCGCTTGTCTGCTGTGGTGCGCTGTTGCTTGTCTGTGCTGCCTTCTGCTATTGCGTCATCTCTCTCTCCTGTGTGCGATGTAGGCGTTGGTGCTGGCAATGCTGGTCGTTTCTGACGTGTTGGTGATGTAGCCATTGGTGATGTTGGCTCTGCTGTCTTCTTCTGCTTTGTACGCTGGTCACTCGATTGCGATGCGCTCTGTCACTTGCCTTCTGCTGCTGCGCTTGTTGCTGCATCCTTCTGCGATGCGACTGTTCTGCCTACCTCTTGCTTGTACGCATGTTGGACACCAACTCCTGTAGGGTAGGTGTGTCCTCCTGTGGTGTTGGTTGCTTGGGCGCTTGTACTGCTTTTGCTCTTGCGCCTTGCTGTTGTTCATCATCTGACTCAAGTTTTGCTCCTCGAAGTTTGTCCAGCCTGTCCAAGGCTTGTCCGATGTCTGTGCTTGCTGTGTTGTCCATTCTGTTCTACCAATCTTGTGTTGCGCTTTTCTCCTACCGGTTGTACCTTGGTCTGTTTGCAAGGTGTAAGTCGCTTAATGTCTGGCCCGTCATGTGTCTGCTCAGGTGTGTAAAATGCTTCCAGTATGGGCCTTCTCTGCGCCAGTAGTCTCCTCCATGATGCGCTTCTCCGGAAGTGCTTGTCAAGCTGCACCTTTGGTGGTGCGTTCTTGGTGGTGTGAAGAGTGTCTTCCTGTATTGTCTGTGTACTCTGACAAGTTCACCTTGTGTGTTGAACTGCCAGTAGTCTCCTGCGTAACCTGTGTCTGCAGGACCTTGTGGTGTAAGCGTTGTGGCTATCATGCCAATCTGTCCTTGCTGCGTGCTGTGAATCTGTAGCTTTGTTCCTCTTGGCAGTGTTGTGATTTCTGCTTGTAGGAAGAACGGGCCATCTCTGTGCTGTTGAATCCTTTGGTGCGCTGCAGTCTTGGATTGTCATCCAGTGTAAGTTGGAAGCCTTCTTCCACCAGCCTTGTAAGCAAAAGAACTGGCTGTTTCACCTCACAAATCTGTTGTCCACTGTGGTTTGTCACGCAAACCCATCTACACCCGTGAAGCTTGATGTGCTGGTTGGTCACTGTTCGCAGTTGTGGTCCTGTTCCATGCTCGAGGCGCTGTAGTGGAAATTGTGTTGCAAACAATGGTGGGCACACACAGGTGTAGCCGCCCCGCTGTCAATCATGAGACTAGTTGAAACCCCCATGTTGTAAAGGTTTCTTCGAACTTCTGTTCATCAAGCTGTGGATGAGTAACCTTGTCAGGTACCCAACGCTTCGTGTGCCAAGTGGTATGGAGCATCTCAGGTGTTGTAGCCGCCATGTCTCGAAGCCGTTGCCTTGCGCGTTTTGTCTGCAAATTGTAGACGCTGGTCCATCGCATGCGCTCACCAAGGTGTAGTGTAAGTTGTTGCTCAGTTGTATCCATTGCTCTGCTACTGCTGGTGAAGGTGCTGCTGTCTCAAGTTGGCCGTTTGTAGCTGGCAGTTGTGATTGCTCTGACTGTCTCAGCAGTCTGTTGTAGGAAGGGTCTTGTAGCCCATGGTACGCTGTCATCTTGTACTTCCATTCTTCGAATGTGTTGCATTCTCCTGTGAATCGTGGTGGTGCTATCTTGTACTTGTGTTTTCCTTCCAGCTGATGCTGTTGCTCTTGTTGCTCTTGTTGCTCTTGTTGCTCTTGTTGTTGTTGTTGTTGTTGTTGTTGTTGTTGTTGTTGTTGTTGGGCCGCCGTTCCTTGTGTTGTATGGAAAGGCCGCCAGATCTTTCCAGGCGCGTAAATGCGTTCACTGCTGTGTGACTGAACCTATGGGTACGCGTTGGAGCTCACCCTGGGTAGTGTGTGTGTGGATCGTGTACCAGGGTCACTGATCCGCTACCATGTTAAACTTGGAGCAACTATACCTAATTACCTTGGGATGCATGGGCAGCGGATGTAGAAAGCATGTAGTATTTAACATGTATATACATAACTTTTTATGTGTAGTTGATTGGAACAGAGCCGTCGAATACATCGAACACGAGTGACTTGACGTCTCTCGTGACTCGCTCCTGGCGATGCTGCCGTCCACCCGTGGCAGGCAGTGGCCATGCCTAGCTCGCCCAGAGCCACGATCTGAACATTCTGAACATCCAAAAGTTGGGCCCAGACTTCACAGTCCAGTAGCCTGGCGTCAGTTCGCTTCACATGCTCCCTTCGCGTGCAAGCGCGGCCATTCTTGTCATTCTGCACTACGTTGGACAACTCTTCCAGCAGGTCCACCGGTCTGCCACCCGCCTCGAGTCGAGGCGAAAGAGAAACGCCTGAAGCATAGCGAGCCACGTCTGAGGTGAACGCTCCTTGTCCTGTGGTATGTACAAAGTAGTTCCTGGAGACTCGCCAGGCTGGACATGGCAAAGGTCAGAATTGGGCAGATTCAAACTTCGCCAAAAAACAAAAAACGAGCTCGGGAATCTGCAGCGGATGGTTAGATTCGGTTAGATTAAAGCTTCCAGCCTAAAGAATGTGGCCGCCGGACAGGCAATAGCTGAAGCCGATCCCTGGGTTGCCTGCGCGTCGCAACGTTCACGTCGCCTGCGTGTCTCTCCGTCTCTCCGTCTCTGTCTCTCCGCTCCTGGCTGCAGTAGTGCGTGATGCCGTCCTCACTCAGACGCGAGTTCGCTGAGAGCTTCTTCTCGAACTCTTCCGAGTTCCGAGTTCTTTTCGTCTCCCTTCCGCTGCCTCTGGATGGTAGCCATCCACGGTCTCCAAACAGTTGAAGAGCGAGCACACCTTCAGCCAAGAAAACAAAAACCAAAAAAAATGTGATAAGTTGAGCAGATCAAATGTGAATGTCTATCGAGAGAAGAACAAAAACTTGGCCATCGCCTGGAAGACACTGCCGGCATTGCGCGGGTCCTGGTGGAGGCTCAGCGAATCACTGGTCACGTTGGAGAACTTCAAGGTCTCAGCATGGCCAAGCCCGGCCAAGCCCCGGATTCTTGCATTTCCCGCTTTCCCTGAGCCAATGCACCCCGGAGTTGTAGTACTCACCGTTGCCCTCCTTGCCAATCCGCCAATCCGCCAATCCGCCAATCCGCCAAGTGCATGGCGCACTCACAGCCTGTCGAGCCGTGTTCAGCTGGGATCTCAACTCGGCCAAAGTCGGAGTCCGCAGAGCGCCAGCCTGTGCCATCGCCATCGATGCCAACGCACAAATACTCAACGCTCACGACCACAGAGGCTGCAGCTTGGAACATCTTCCCTGTGGGCTTGCAAATCAGCAAGCCTCGGACAAACTTGCAGTACACTCACTTCCTACTTCCTACTTCCTACTTGCTCTCTCTCTCTCTCTCTCTCTCTCTCTCTCCCGGTTGCATTCCGTGCCCCACTCCCTCCACTCCCATGCATTCCGCATGCATTCCGCATGCATTCCGCATGCATTCCGCAGGCATTCCGTGCCTGCTGCCGCCTCAAAGTCGCTGCGCATCTCCCGATACCGACCTTCCTGCACCCCGAACGCCTGGCCAATAGAGAAACATGCAGAGACATGCTCACACGTCGCACTCGTCGCACTCGTCCACATGCGCGACCTCCTCAAACCATGACTTTGGAAACCTCAAGCACACGCATCACACACATGGCTTGCATGGCTTGCATGGCTTGCATGGCTTGCATGGCTTGCATGGCTTGCATGGCTTGCATGGCTTGCATGGCTTGCACTCAGACTTGGATGCCGCAGGCCCCCAGACCCCCAACATCACGCTTCCATCTTCGGACACAAGTGGCCCGCCCCACGCGCAAACTCAGTCGTGCAATGCCACACAGGTCCGTGACAAGAAAGAACAAATCAACACAATCGACATCTCTTGTTCAATTCGCAATTCGCACAAAGAGACATCAGAATCAAACAAAACGTGCACAAACCATGAGCTGGCACATGAACACGGTGCATCGTGCATTCCGTGTCGCAGCTTGGTGGTTGAGTTATACATAGCTCTGTTCTCGGTTAGTGGGGGTGCTCAGGGGTAAACCTTGCAAAGTAACTCAAACTCGCACTCACGACCAGAGCTGTTCTTTCTCAGGCAGTCTCCTTTGCCTATATAGTGGGTTGCTTGTTGTGGACAACTTCTGTTGATTGTTTACAAGCCAATCAGCACTGTCTCTGGCTTTGCCACCAGCACTTGCAAGGCTTGCCATGACCCCTCTGGCAAGCTGTCCTGCAGGGCCAAGCTTGATGTTTACCTTTCGCTCGAAAGCTGAAGCAACCCACACATCTTGCCTCTGCACTGGAGCTGAGGAAAGGATAAGGCGTGGCAAAACCGGCAAGGCGGTAAAACGGCGTTCAGCGAGCTTGGAAGGCTGATGCGGCCGCTTGAAGACCATGTTCAGTGTTCAGGTACGTCAGGTACGTCACTTTCTTTACAGCATTTCATGGCATCTGAGAAACCTTCCGAAAGGGTCTGCCACTCCCGCAGCGTGTCTGGCGAGCGCAGCATTTGCGACAAGTATCCTTGCATTTCATGGCCTTGGCGCCTGCAATGCTTACAGCGTTGTGACACTCCGATTTACGATGTGAATCGGACACCGATTTCCTTGAGCCCAGTGCAAGTCGTGCACTCGTGCGTGATCACAAATGCTAAGGTCCACACTCGACATCTCGCGTGCCCGGCATGGCACAGAAGGCGCCGTGCTAAGTAGCGCAAGCTGGTGCCTGGAATTTTCTTGGAAGGCTTGTGTTTGGGCGGTCCTGTGTCTGCTCTTGAGGCTTGGTCACCTAAGCCACACCGTCTTCAATCCACATACCTTCAATATTTGCCGCGGTCCGGCTCCAGAAAGTTGCAATTTTTCTTGCAGCTAGGCTGGGTGCGTTAGCCGGGCTTGCCTGAATGGGAACTTCTGTGTACATCGGAAAGCCCTGCCACAGTCTTTGTGGCTTGTGAGACCGGGGATTGATTTCATGAGCTCACGTTCCAAGGAAGCGCGGGCCTTGGCGGCAAGCTGAATCTGAGATGAGCATGCCAAGCGTCTCACTCCTGGCACGTCTTAGACTCCCACGATCTAGAGATCATTGCGCCACCTGAAAGTTTTGCCGCAGAGCCAAGTGTTGAGTGTACCTGCACGTCTTGCAAATGGCCTCTATCCGTGTCGTGCCCTATCGCCAGGAACCCAACGTGCAGGTCCTCAGGAGCCGTCCGCGACAATCCGTGACACGTGCCTTTCACACTTGGGCCCGCCTGGCATAGACCCACTGCCTGGAAACCTGCGCGGATTCCAGTCATTTCGGGGTCCGCAGATCTTCGCGTCGATTCGGCGCTGAGGCCACGGCTGGCCGGCCACTCCGGCCTCGCGCACGGGCGTGACGCAAGCGAGCGACCAGCGAGCGACCAGCGAGCGACCAGCGAGCGACCAGCGAGCGACCAGCGAGCGACCAGCGAGCCTCCAGCGGCCCAGGCTGCGCGACTCAAAGATGTCCCAGGCCTAACCAAGGCGATCGGCGTGAAGCAGACAAGCGGGCAAGCGGGCAAGCGGGCCTCCACTCGTCCGCTGGCGAGCAAAGCCACCAGGCGGCCGTACCTGGCACTCCGTTCGGCTGAAAAAGCGCTGCATGGCACATGCGCACGGGTCCAAGTGCAATGCCACAACTCCCTCGCAATTCTCAACTCGCATCCAGACTGCCCGTGCAATCCGTGCACGCGCCTTCTCTTCCAAGGGCGCATCAAGGCCTTGGAAACAGGCCTTCACTGGGCATGGACTTTTTTTCCACACCTGGTCTCACTCTAGTCACCCGCGGCGGTGTGGACGCACCTCAAACGCGGCTCCTCCCGGTCCCAGGATGTCGGCTGCTGAGGCCCGTGCCATTCGGGAGGGGCACGGCAGCAATCGGCAGCGTTTCACCATCCCAGCCTCGCTCGACTCGCGACTCGCTCGCCGGAAATGGGATCCGGGCCTGCCAGCACCAGGCACCACTCCGTCGCGTGTTCCTGACGCCGAAGCGAGCGGAAGCGAGCGGGCCAAGCGGGCCCGGATCGGCCTCAGGGGGAAGCAGCCGCGGCACCTGTCGCGTCTATCTGCCCAAAAGAAACCGACAGAAACCGTTGTCCGTCGGTGTCCGGTCGCCTTCTGGCACGGCACTGTACTGCCCGCGGCCAGCTGCCAAGGCCTCGCCAAGCCCCGAGTTTTGGAAGCCCCGGGCCACACATAAGCCGGGAGGCATTTCCGGCTGCAGCACGACGCCGTCACCTCAAAAACGGATTCAAAAACGAATCAAAACCGGCGACCTCCTTGGCCTGGTGAGGTCTCTGGCCAGATCTCCAAGCCATCCTGTGCCGATTTGGGAGATCAGTTTTGTCTGTGCAACCTGCTGTTTCGCCCAGGTCCTGACTGGTAGCCAGGATCAGACACTTTGAGCGACTGTCCCGCGCACAGGCAGCGCTTAAAGAGCGAGGCAGGCGCATCCGCCTTACCTGAAACACAACCCAAAGAGAATTGCCAAGAGAATTGCCCTGGCAACGCCGAACCGCATCTTGGCATGACTGGAGTTGACACTTGCCTCATCCAGCTGCACTCTGTGAGTCTCATTCAAAGCCTCCACAGCCAGCTGTGCTCGGTATAGGGCCTGAAAGTGACTGCCCAAGTGATCATCGGGCTCTAAGTTGCAGTGGGAAACATGCCCTCACAAAGCTCCGAGTGCGCCACAAAGGGACTGGCCACGTAGAAGTCTCTGGCGCACAAGATCCCCTGCGAGAGACGGAACAATTCATCTCTCACTGTGTCACGCCATGCCTGTGGCCGGAAAAAACTGCCGTGAGGCCACTCCTGTGGCGACAGTCGCGCGCGTCGGGACATCGGTACTGTCAGAACTGTTGGGCAGCGGCTACATTCAGCTTGCCGAACTTCCAGCCTGGGCAAAGGAACTCATTCTCTGAACCTCCGAGCCAGATGCGCCGATGCGCCCTTGGGGCGAGGCTTGCTGCCTCACAGAGCCTGCGACAAGGAGTTGCGGAGTTGCGGAGTTGCGGGCCTTCGGTTGCCTTCGGTTGCCTTCGATTCTCCGGGGCAAACTGAGCCGGCCTCCTTTCGTGGGCCGGATGCTGCTGGAAATCCACCTGGTACACGTGGACCTCCTTCAGCAAGGCCATGAGCCCAGACCTACCCAGCCAGCGCCGGCTCCCGGGCCCGCGCCGGCTCCCGCGCCCCCATCCCCGCCACAGCCAGCAGAGCTGCAGCACCCGCGTGATGTTCCGCAGCACCTCAGGGTAGGTGCGCACAAGAACTAAATAAGGAAGGCGAGGAAGCTGTAAGGAAGAAATAAAAACAGGAAGGAAAGCAAGGCAAGTGAGGCAAGTGAGGCAAGTAAAGGAGAAAGCAAGGTGGGGAACGGCAGGCGCCTGCCACGGCAGCTTCTCAGGCACGAAGTGCCGTGCGTTGGCCCCAGCCTCTGGTTGCCCGAAGCCCGAAACAAGCTGTCGTCCGCATTGAAAAAGCCACTCTGTCAGATAAGATCCTAAGATCCTTGCCATGGCCACCAAAGTCGGGTCTCTCTGCTGTTCCTCGGACTCAGAGATTGAGGAGCACAGGCAAAAACTACAGCGAGGCGCCGGGTCATGCCGCTCAGCGCCTGAGCTGCGCGTGCATGCGCCGATGCGCGGTGCCGTGCTCGCGAGCCCGCCTGAAATATGGCTGGGCCTCAAGTCGTGCGCTGAAACGTCGCCGCACGAGGCGCACGCGTCAGCTCACCGCATCCAGGCGCGTGGCGGGCTGGGCTGCGTGCCCTCCGACAGCTCCTGACGGGCTAACACAAACCGAAAGGACAAAGAAACAAAAGAAACAAAAGAAACAAAAGAAACAAAGCATGCAAACCCACAAAAACCGCACAAAGACGAAACCAACGCACAGCCAATCTTAGAACGACAGGCAAACACGGCGCACGGGAGAACTCCCGAAACGCTTGTTAGGAAGCCGACGCCTATAGTCCTTTTCACAAGCAAGGCTTGGAGAGAGCTGCAGCGAAGGCCAAAGACTGCAACATGGACTTACCAGGAAGCCGTGCGGGCGGGGCCATCTCAGAAAAGGATAAAATAGGCACAAAAACCTTGACATGCAGAGACGCACACATATACATCCGCCGACCCCTTGGAAAAGGGCGAGGCGCACGGGAAGGGTGGTGGTCACAATCATGTCCTCATCATCACTGTTATGATCAGCATAGATCTCGCCGTCACCACCCAGTATGAAAACGGTCCATATCAAGGTATCAGTGACATTAACATCCTTCTTCTTCATCATTCATCCTCTTTATAGACCTTAAGTTTCTGCAAGGTGTAAGTCTATATCCGGTGCGGCTTGCAACGCACAGGACTCATAGGACTCTTGTATGCTACTGGGCCATATCAATTTGACATCTGTGAAGTTGAAATTGGCGTGCGAAGTCGTTCGCATGGGCATTGCGGGGATACTGTCTGCACGTGCTCACCAGGAGATGGGCTCTGGAACGGTCACTTCAAGAGGCGACCAATTGCAGCCACATGCATTTCAACACCAACGTTAGACATCTCTTGGGATACAGGGAATGTTATGATGATAGTAACGTCACACGCCACTGGGGATGCAGGGGATGCTACGATGATACGTATCACCACCACGATGATTGTCATCATCCTATTGCCGCGACGCTAGGGGTGCAGGGGATGCTGCGATGATAGTTCTCAGCGCAAGTGGGGATGCAGGGGATGGAGGGCTTTGACAATCATCATCAGGTATCGCTGCGATTTTCTTGTCATCGTCTTCATCATCGTCATGATCAGCCGCATGATCATCATCATCCGCTGCGATCTTTTCTTAAATATAGAAATCAAGATTTGTAGCAGCTCCCCGCGGCGCCAAGAAACGAGCACCCCCAAAGTGGACATGACAATGGACGAAAAATTGATGACAATGGCTGGAAACTGATGGAATGAAAGGAAAAAAATGGAAACTGGATGCAAGATAGATGGAGAATGTATGGAACATGGATGCAACATGGAAGGAATATGTATGGACAAGGACAATTGATAGCAAATTCAAGGGAAATAGATGGACACTTGATGGAAATCGAAATTGGTGGACAATGGGTGGAAAATGGATGGAATGAGTGGAAAACAAATGAAAAAATGATGGATGGAAGATAGATGGAAAATGGATGGAAAATCGATGGAAGATGGATGGAAAACGGATGGAAGGAAAAGGAAGGATATGCAGGGGGTGAGTGCGTGGGTGGGTGGGTGGGTGGGTGGGTGGGTGGGTGGGTGGGTGGGTGGGTGGGTGGGTGGGTGGGTGGGTGGGTGGGTGGGTGGGTGGGTGGGTGGGTGGGTGGGTGGGTGGGTTGGAGACTTCAAGAAAGAAATCGAGCGTGCAACCGCATAAACACGCATAGAGTCCGCGTGCCTCATGCTCATGGGGCGACTCCGCCCGGAGCAACTCCATGTTGGCCTCAAATACAGCTGTCGGGTGGGCTCTGCTATTGTCAGCACTCAAAGCTTGCGATGTGCGGCACACTGCGCACACTGCACTCCCGGAATCGGGTGACTCGAGGGCTTCGGCATCTTGCCGTCTAAAGGCTGTCGCCAAGGCAGGCCAGCTCTTGTGGGGCTGTGGTTTGACCGATTAGCTCAGATTCCTGAAGCCGCAAGAAAAAAAACACCACAGAATTCAAAAGTTTGGGTGCAGCATGGTTTAGCAGAAGCTCAGAAATGCGAGCTCCATCCTAGTTGCGAACAATGGACACAGAGATGCCTGGCATCGAAGGAATGTCCAACGAGTTGCTGGAATCACGCAGGCTCACGACTCAAGCTTTGCGTAGGCAAAATGGCGGGCTGAAACCTAGCGACGAAACATGAGCGTGAAGAACAAAGCAAAGAATTTGTGGGTTTGTTATTGCTAGTTAGCCAAATCAAAAGAGATATCAGCACAAGGGCCAGGCGGAGCCCCAGCATGGGCTTCTGAGAAATGCCCCTTGCTCAAGTTCAACAAGCATGCTTCACGTTGAGACTGCTCTAGTGTGTTAGATTCCGTAGCTGATTGGTTCATGCGCTCAATGTGGCAGTGTAGCTTTGGCACAGAACTTGAAAATGAAGGAGTTCAGGTGGCACGAAGCTGGCGTCACGCGAGGGAGCACGAATGAACAGTGAGAGCGAATGATAGGCACAAAGCAGGATCTGTGAATGCTGGGCACCCAGCTTCGGGGTCAAGCCGTTGATGGAGGCGCGTCTTGAAAAGCGCAACCTGAGAGAACCGCTGAGAGCACGAGCACGAGCACTGAGGTCCCTGCCAGGTTGGGGAAGTTCCCCCTCATCCGCGTTCCTTCTGGGACCTCAAGCGCGAAAAGAATCACCGAGTTCGGACGAGAGCTTCGCTTGGCCCGAGGCTCGCGCTGGCACGGCACCTGAAAGCGAGAGCACGCGAGCGAGAGCCACGCTTCACTTGGCGAGGCATCCGCGTCGCTTCGGCTTGCGAGAAGACTTCAGCTCACCTCACAAGAGCCGAACTGATAAAATTGAAATGCGAAGCCTCGAAAGAACCGAACCGTGTTACGTGATATCCTTGCCAGGCAGCTTTGGAGGCGTCGGCGCTGCATGGTGATGCGCAAGTCCGACATGATGCCTTGAGTCCAAATGTCCACTTCTCAGGTGTCATTCTGAGTCATTCTGAGCTTCAACTCCACTAGATACTGCACATTTGACATCTCATGTCAACTAGATATTCAAGTTGCATATGCCTGATTCCTTCGTGGAACTAAGGCTGGAATTTCTGAGAGGAAGGTCACGCACGATATGTCAAAGTGAGTGCTGCATGTGCTCTGAGCGTGTTTCGGGCACTGGTGCACTTTTTGGCGCGGGATTTACCGGACTGAAGTGATTGTCAGGGCACCTGAACCATCTAAAGCGGCTTGTGCTAGGACCTGCTAGGATTACCCGTAGGATTGTGATACTTCCACTTTCACACAGGCCGGAACAAAAATGTGCTCCTTGCTGTCTGCTTCATGATTACGCGTGGTTTGCTCATCATGATGGTGCCAGCATCAGGATGGTGCCTTTGGAGTGCAAATCATCCTATTGTACCTGAACCATCATGTTGGGTTGCTGGGATGGGGTTTGCCCGGACCGAATGACGGTCACTCTTGGACGTGGGTTGGGAAATGCGACAAATCCTATGCGGCTTCGGTGGGATCACAGGAAAGCCTGCAAATGTCCAACTTCGCGAATTCGAATCTGAGATGCGAATACGCGGCACTGGCAGGCGCAGCATTCTCATTTGCTTGAAGCAGGCTCCAGGACTGTGGCCTGACTCTCTTAGCTGGGATCCTTACATTATACACCTGAACGCCTTGTGAATGGTGGTTTCCCTTTGTTTGGGTGGAAAACCATGGGAAAAATCTATCTTTTGAACAGCCCTGCTTAGTGAGAGACCTTGAGAATGCCACCAACGCTTTCATGCAGCTGTCCAGCCCGGGCTGCCTTCTACATGCGAAGCAGACAAGTCGTGAGCTGCGCTGCTGGCAGAACTTCCGTTCCTGCTTGGTACTGTGAGCGCAGCGGGGACAAAGACCAGCATTCGGGAAGGTAGCTCCTTCGAACACAAGAAGGCCCCAAGCCCTCTTAGGCACCAGGTGTCTAACACCACCTGCGGACAATTGCCAACGTGTCAGATAAGCAAATAGGACTGCGCAGTCGCGTAGAGCGCGCAGATAGCGGAGAAGTCACATGGCGTGTGGGGCTGGGGGGTCGAGATCGAGTAGTTTGAAACACAGGTTGGCCGACCCGTGTTCTTTCCTTTCCCGCCCCCCCCTTCACCTACCAAAGACCACCCCCCAGTTGGATAAAATCCCCTCAACCGACCAATTCACATAATATTATTTCATCATTTCATAACAGAACCTCAACATATTTTTCTAGATTCCCAAAATCCACAACTCCCAATACATATTTTTCCAAAATTCCAAAATATAAAATCCCCATAATTCCAAAACGTAAATCTTACAATGTTTTTATTGTAAGGTTTATGGGTTAATTTATAATTTCAGTTCAGGATAATAATTTAATTGATTTGTCTTACTTATTTCATACATCATTTTAAAAATAATATTAACATCTCTCACTGTATTTGTAACATTAAACTTTTTAATTTCAATATAAAATTTGATACCTTCTTTAACATCTGCTCCTTTTTTCTTTTGACTACAACACAACATCCATAATATATCATAAATCATTTCATTTTTCTTACTGATTTTAAGAAGCTGTTTAACATAATCGTAAGGTGGTAATTTATTTACAGTTAGAAATATCAAGATTTCACCTTCAACGTTTCTATTATTTCTTCTTTTCTCAACACACAATTGATTATAGCTTGGTTATCTCTCCAGGTTATACAATTTTCGCATATATCTTCTTCATCCATTGAATAACCAATAATATTATTTATTATTCCATTAGGAAAATTTAATTTATACAATTCCATATTTTCTTTTTTAAAGTGGCAACAGTCATAGCATTTCTTATTAATATACTTATTGATTTCAATACTGTTCATTTCTTCACTATTAATATAAGCTTTTTCTTTAGGACTATTTCGCCTAAAACTAAATTATTAACTAACAATATTTTTAATAACAAATCACAGAAATTCAAATCATAAATCTTACAATTTAACTTTATTGTAAGGTTTATGGGTGAATTTATAGTTTAAGTTCAGGATAATAAGTTAATTGATGACTATTAAATTGTGTATATATCTTACTTCTTTCATGCACCATTTTTAAAAGAATATTAATATCTCTCACTGTATTTTTGACATTAAACTTTTTCTGTCAATATATGTTTTAATGTCTTCTTTTACATCGAACCCTTCCCTACTATGACAAGTCAACATCCATAATATACCTTCAATCATTTCATATTTTTCTTACTGATTTTCAGAAATGCATAACTATAAGGTGGTCTTTCATACACAGTTAAAAATATCAAAATGTCATCTTCAACATTTCTTTCATTAAACCTTTTAACACTTAAAGTACATTTGATTTATTCTTGATAAAACCTCCAATTTCTACAAATTTTACATAAATCTTCTTCACCCAAAGCATAATCAATAATATTTTTTATTATTCCACTAAGTAAATTTATTTTATACAATTCCATATTTTCTTTTTTAAAGTGGCAACAGTCATAGCATTTCTTATTAATATACTTATTGATTTCAATACCGTTCATTGCTTCACTATTAATATAAGTTGTTTTTTCTTTAGGACTATTTCGCCTAAAACTGAATTATAAATTTAAGTCTTTCTATTCTTTTATCACACGTTGTTTCATTATAAATATTACTTCCTATTTTTGTTCTAAACAACCCCATTGTTCTAATTGCATGTGTTATTGTATATCTAAGTTCGTCAATTCTATACTCATCATTTAAAAACTCATTTAAAAATTAAACAATACAACATAGTTTAAACGTTTAATATTAAAAGACATATTGTATAATCTTTTTACCATACAATAATACTTAAAAATAAATTCATTATTATATCCTTCGTCGTCACATTCTAATAAACTATCAAGCCCTTCTATAGTTAAGAAATTATTCATTTCAATAAACACAAATATTTCTAAATTATCATCAAGGGTTTCATTATTTATAATATCAATATCTTTGTTATTCAGTCATCAATTTTGTTTATAATTCTGTTGCAATTATTGCATATCATGTATTGACAAATATTATTACAAACGCCATTTGCAAAACTCCGTTCAATTGGTAATTTCAGCATTTCACAGTCTTTACATTTATAACTCATAAACCTGTTTTTCAATATATTTTTAGCATTGATACCGACTGTATCACTCATTTCACTATAATATGTTAAGTTATTATTTCTTCAAGTCATTTTGAAATCATAAATCTTACAATGTTTTTATTGTAAGGTTTATGGGTTAAAATAACAGTCAGGTAACAAGTCTTCAAATATGTAATCTACACATTTATCTATATCATCCTTATCTATATATTTGATATTGTCTTTTCCTATTATTGAATAAATATATTCCCAAAAGAATAAATACAACAATAGACATACTTTATATTTAGTGTTGTAGTAATACCATATACTATATTCAGTTAATTGAAATTCGTTCAAGACTTCGTTTATTTTATCTTTGCCTAATAAATGCCAGTCAATCCATTCAAACAAATCCATTCAAACAAATAACGTCATTTTTTGACAAATGCTTTATATGGTTTAATTGCGTTTGTTCCTCCAAACCTCCTAATTAAATCTATATTAATAAAGAATTCATCAATTTCATGTTCAAATGACTTTCTGGAAATCTTCTGGTAAAAGTGTATAGGAAATCTTGCTTGGTGTCGCATAAAGAATTTTAATTGTAAAAGAAACTTTGTATATCCCTTATCCTTATGTTCTTCAACAAAAAACTTTTCAAGGTCTCTTGTTATACAGCTTTGATTGCAGTATACATTATATTCACTTATTTTATTACATACATTTGCTGGTAGTATATGATGTAAGGTTAAACTCAAATCATTCATTTTGCATTTACAGCATTCGCACTTGTTATAGTTAAACAACGTTTCACTAATATTTTAAGGCGTTTTTTCTTTAACTGTATTTCGTTTAATATTAAACTTTCAATAATTCGTGTCTCAAATAAGGACTAGTTTTTCCTTCCAAATGAAACTAAGACTGCCCTAATTTACTCTCAATTGATTTTACTTTACATACTTCTTTTAACCAATGACTGGTATGTGCCTTTTCGCTTATGCCATTCTTCCTCATTATTTTTACATTACTTCCTACGTCTAATTCAGGATACATTCTAGTTTTCTTTGCTTGCATTGTAATATTCATTTTTACCTCAAATTCATTCTTTTTTAATCTTGCCTGTGCTGGAACAAAGCGGGTGGCAGAATGCACCATCTTATTATTGTAAGTTAATAATATTTCAAAAATATAATCCGCCCATTGGATATTATGCTTTCCATTTTTCTCGTCTGCTTCAACTCAGACAGTTGATCTTTAAAAGTCTGAATTCCACGCTCCGCAAATGCTGGATGACCTCTATTTCTGTGTAATTCAATTTTCTCCTCCTTCAAATAATCTAATACTGGTTGATTAAAAAAACTGCCTTCCTCGTCGGTATAAATCAATTTCGGTTTGCCCTCTAAGCCTCTAAGTCTTCCAGCCGCCACGCCCCTAAGCCTCTAAGTCTCCAAGCCTGTCAGCTTCTAAGCTTTTCAGCCGCTGAGCCTGCACGCCCCAAAGCCTTTAAACCTCTAGGTCCGTAAGCCTGCACGCTCCTAAGCCTCTAAGCCTCTAAGCCTCTAAGCCTCTAATTAAGCCATCCAGCCTCCACGCTCCTAAGCCTCTAAGCCTCCAAGTCTTCCAGCCGCCTGTCAGCTTCCAAGCCTTTCAGCCGCTGAGCCTGCACGCTCCAAAGCCTTTAAACCTCTAGGTCCGTAAGCCTGCACGCTCCTAAGCCTCTAAGCCTCTAAGCCTCTAAGCCTCTAATTAAGCCATCCAGCCTCCACGCTCCTAAGCCTCTAAGTCTTCCAGCCGCCACGCTGCTTGGAGGCTTAGGCGCTTAGAG